TGATTCTTCAACATCAACTTTGTTGGACTGCTCATGTTGTGCGGATGCCTGATGATCATCTTCCAAAGCAACTACTCTATTCCGAACTTAAAAATGGAAAGCGTAATGCAGGTGGTCAACAAAAGAGGTTTAAAGACTGTCTCAAGGCAAATCTAAAAAAAAGTAGTATAAACACCGACAACTGGGAAACACTGGCCTGCAAGCGCTCCAGTTGGAGAACAGCCTTGACCAAAGGTGTCATGGACTTTGAAGACACTCGAACTCAGGATGTAAGGGAGAAACGTGCTAAGAGGAAGGCATGCTTGGCAAATCCACACCGTGATCAACTCCCGCCGAGGAACCAATGTTCCCACTGTGAAAGGATTTGTGGGTCCAGAATTGGCCTCCACAGTCACTCATTGTTAAAACCATGTTTATGGAAGACAATCTTACTCGGCTACAAGGGATCACCAAAGAAAGAGACTAGGTGCTGCAGACTACAGCAGGCTTCAACCCTTGATCCTTGGTCATGCTGGTTGGGGCTGATGGGAGTTCTAGTTCACCTCTGGTGGGCACCCTATTGGCTATCCCTGATCTACAGGGACTGAAAAGCTTTGAACCTCACCAACAAAGCTTTTGGCCAATTCTTAGAAGTGGGTCTGCCATGCCACAAACCAACAAATTGAGTCAATTTACTGAAAGCTTTCAACGGCTGGAGAAACAACTGTCTGCGTACTGCAGATCTTCTGGCTTGAGGAAGTACTGGATAAGAAGCTTCAGGACCAAATCGTTTGTATTCCCTGTTCTGAAATGTGTGTCCAGCCTCTAGGAAAGATTTTTTTAGCAAACATGAGGATTGGTAGTGGGAGCATACACATGGCACTGTTCATGTGACGATTTAAGTTAGGGATTTGGAATCTTTTTCAGCCTAGGGGCCTCATTCCCTACTACACAACTTTCCAAAGGCCACAGGTCAGTGGTGGGTGGGGCCAGAGGGGTGCAGTGGTGAATCCAGATTTTAACTCCGTACAATAGGCTCGTTTCTGCATGCAGTCACAGATCCCTCTGTATCCTCAATCCACACAAGTGAGAGGCATGGTCAGAGTTCAAGGACACATTCCAGCCAGCAACCCCCTTCCCCACCTCCCAAAAAAACACTGGGTGAGAAGGACCAGTGAGGGCTGTGACATGGAAAGACCAGGGCCATGTTCATAACATACATCTACAGCTGTACCTTGTTTTGCGGCCAGGATCCGTTCCGGAGCCCTGGCTCCTAGCCGAAAAAGACCCAGGGCAAACAAGCTGTGCTATCATAATGATTAAGGCCTTAAATGATAATTTTAGGTTATATGCTAGTGACTAAGTTTTAATTTATATATTTTTTAACTGTTGCTATATCTGTATTGTCCCTGTTATACCTAATTGCAAATTCAAATGTATCCCTATCATGTTTTATGACTTCCTTGATATTGTATGTGGGCTGGAACTGGTCTATGACTCAGGGAAAAGCGCAGCGTCTGTGCACACGTGGAGCGGTTTGCGCTTCTGAGCATGTGCAAAGTGTGATTTAGCGCTTCTGCGCATGTGCGAGTGGCAAACCCGGAAGTAACCCGTTCTGGTACTTCTGGGTTTGCCGCGGATGTTCACCAAAATGGATGCTAGACGAGGTGGACGTTCGTGAAGGTATTACTGTAAAGTGCTACAATGCCACTTTAAAAAGTTATGGCTTCCCCAAAAGAATTCTGGGAGCTGTAGTTCATTAATGGAGCTGAGAGTTGTTAGGAGCCCCCGCCCCTCATTTCCCTTACAACAAATTCCAGAGTTGCCCACAAAGAGGGAATGATTGCTAAACCGTTCTGGAAATTGTAGCTCTTTGAGAGGAACAGGGATCTTATAACAACTCTCAGCACCCTTAACCAGGGCAGCCAACTTGGGCCCCAGATTATGGGCGCCCAGTGTGCATGATGCCATGTCATAATGTGACATTATGACATCACGCACGCCGACCAGCCTCAGAACCTGACTTCCAAGATGCTGTCTGAGGCCTTGTGAGACCTTGAAAGTTGCATGGGGGCCCTGTGGCATTGGGTGCTGACCACCCACAACAATTTTGTGTGTGTGTGGCGGAAATGACTGGTAGAATCCGAGACCAGGGAGAAGAGTCGGTGGAAGAAGATTGGAAGAAATTTAAAGACTGCTTACAGAAATATTGTAAAATTAATGAATGTTAGAATGATGACGGATTGAAGTTAAGCGGTTTCTAGCGGTAATGGTATAAAAGAATATGGAAAAATTGGTTTTTAATATGTAAAAATTTAATGTTATAATATATCAAGATTAAAGATCAGGATTAAAAAGGAGGGAAAGGAATCGCTGGACTAACAAATTGAATTGGAATACAAAAGAGGGAGGTATGAGGAGGTCCGGGAAACAAGTAAATGTAAAAGAAGTGATGAAAAGATGGAATTGTTTTTAACTGTTTTTTCTTTTTTGTATTTTGTATTTTTCCTTTTTATTGTTAATTTTCTTATTAATGCAATCTTTTTCTTTTGAAATTTTAATAAATATCATTTAAAAAAAAAAACAATTTTTTGTGTGTGCTCAGGCACTCAGAGCCACCTATACTTGGCGCCCCTGCCCTTAACAAACTGCAGTTCCCAGAATTTCTCTGGGGAGGTTATGAGCGTTTAAAATGGTATCACAAAGCTTTCACTGTATGGTGTCAATGTGCCCCAGGTCTGGCTTGGGGAGAGCTCCAGGTGACAGATAGAGTGTCCTGGGGCCCCACGTTTAAATTCTGACTAAAGAAGGTTTACCGTGAATGCTCCGTCTTTACGTTGAACAAATACCCTGACCACTGAATATAATCATGATGCTTTGCTCTCTTTGATATTTGATATTTAAGTTATTGTTGTATCATTCCATTTTATTTATACCTTGACAACCTTCATTTCTTTGCCTAGTTGTGAAGATCAAACCCCTTCATCCTGCAGCGAGGAGGCCGAAAGCCTCCCTTTTCAATTATCATTTTATTATATACCTTTAAATTTATAAGAAGTCCCTCTAAATTTTGAATTTAGGCCCTGTGGCCCGCAAAGCAGGGCATTTCTTCTCAATTAGCAGTGGAGGTGAAAGGGCCTTATCAAAGTTTATTTGTTCATATCAAAGCTCCTCTTTTTTTGATCTCCTGAAAGGGATTGGGGGATGCACCATTAAGAAATCCCCTCCTATGTTCTTCCCCCAAAGGACAGAAAGCAACCTGCTAAGGTCCATTAGCATTTCAATATATTTCTCACCTCAGGAAATGAATTGGCTTCCCAGGCTAATTTAGCAAAAGGAAAAAGGAAAAATCTTGCACATGAATATCTACATCATGTTTAAAGGCCCACCACATCAATGGGACTACTGTATTTCACTTGGTCTGCTGAGGATTGAGCAATCATAGCAGTGCATTAGAAAGGTCAAATATATAACCATTTCAGCATTTGACAAGGGGTTTGAGGTGTGCTTCATGGACCACTCTGACTCTTTATAGTGAGCTTAGGTTTGCAAACTATCAACCCAGAGGTCCTGTGTGTCCCTTTAAGCCATCACCACAACAGCTCTACCTCCACTGTCAGAGGCAGTAGGCCTTTGAATACCACTTGGAGGGAATCACAACAGGGGAGAACAGCGGGTGGCGCTGTGGTCTAAACCACTGAGCCTCTTGGGCTTGCCGATCAGAAGGTCGGCGGTTCAAATCCCGCAATGGGGTGAGCTCCCGTTGCTCTGCCCCAGCTTCTGCCAACCTAGCAGCTCAAAAGCACACCAGTGCAAGCAGATAAATAGGTACTGCTGTGATGGGAAGGTAAATGGCGTTTCCGTATGCTCTGGCACTCATCACGGTGTTCCGTTACACCAGAAGCGGTTTAGTCTTGCTGGCCTAATAATAATAAATCATCATCATCATCGTTATTATTATTATTATTAATAATAATACTATTATTATTATTACTACTACAGTGGTACCTTGGATTACATATGCTTCAGGTTACATAGGCTTCAGGTTACAGACTCCGCTAACCCAGAAATGGTACCTCGAGTTAAGAACTTTGCTTCAGGATGAGAACAGAAATCGTGCTCTGGCGGCACAGCAGCAGCAGGAGGCCCCATTAGCTGGTGGTGCTTCAGGTTAAGAACAGTTTCAGGTTAAGAATGGACCTCCAGAACGAATTAGGTTCTTAACCCAAGGTGCCACTGTATTATTTATTTATACTCCACCCATCTGGAAGATGGCGTCCCGGACTTTGGCATCAAAGTGTTGGCATGTATGTATGACTCAACAGGCAACATGGCCTACAACATCAGGGGCACTTCAGGAAGTAGTGTGTCATAGGGGCAGCATTTCTTTGTTGTGCACCTTTATTATTCCATGGGTTCACTCATAGGTAGCACAGTGGCCAACTATGCCTCACTTAAGAAAAGAAGAAATGCACCAGTCCAAAAGAGGACTTTTATAAATTTTGCATCTGCTAATATATATGTATAAGCATAATTTTAGAAATAATTATTGCAATTGGAATTGCAATGCAGCAATCTCACCGTAATGAGGGAGATGGCGACTGGGCCACTGGGTTGTCTGCTGAGTTTGTTGTCCTGTTGATCACTGTTGACATACGATTTCAGGGACCCAGGTTTACTTTATGGGTTTTTTTTATCTTCAGGTAGAAAGCAGTTCCCTGACATACTTTCAAACTGATGGATGCCCTCTGCAAAGCAGGGCCCCCAGCACCAGGAGTTTCTCTGCCCAGGAATAAGGGTGGAGAATTCCAGGTGCAAATGTTGATCCTTCAGCAAAGGTGATGAATGCATTGTCTGCATGACTGTTTAGAAAGAAACCTGCTTGTCGCCCAGCAATCGATAAGAATTCATTTGAATTTCAAAGCGGTGACGGCAATCAGAAAGGATTCATTAGGGAGTTTGTAGGCAATGTCATAAGCTCTTCCGCAGTCATTCCGCCATCATTCAGGATTCATTAAGTGCTATTTCATGTTGGAAATAATGAGCTGTGGAAGCACTGTTAACAGAGAATAATGGAAGGAAAGCAGGTTTACATATTGTAAATACTTTTCAGCTAGAGGTCTTGACTGCTTCACCGCAAGAGAAGATGCAAAAGGCTACCCTTCTCCTTCTCCCCCACCCATAACCCGATCTTTGCTAGTTGAGTACACCTCAATTAAGTAGTGCATTAGAGTCGTGCAAACTCAAAATTGGAATTTTTAAAGTTCTCTCTGACTTAGTGGCTTCAAAATGTCAATGGTTTAATTATCATATTGTTTCCAAGTGAGCACCGTTTGTTCAGGAATTCGGCTGCTTAATAAGAGTTTTACTGTAATTGGATCTGCGTAAAGCTCCTCCTCGTTTATAACAGTGGAAATTTTCCACTTCAGCAACAAAAACAACCTTTCTCTCTTTTTCGTCCTGCCTGCCACTGAGCTGCAGCTCTTCTGTTGACAAAGAGCCTGGCTGCTGAATCGGGCCAAGGACCCATCTAATCAAGCATCTTTGTCTCACAGTGGCCAACCAGAAGCCTATGGGATGCCGAGAAGTAGGACCTGAGCTCAACAGCACTCTACCCACCTGATTCTTAGCAGCTGGAATTCGGAAGTAACAGAACTCAGTCATTTTATAAAATATTAGCAGAAATAGAGAATCAATGAGATCAATTAAAAGAGGTGCGGGGAAAGGAGACAACAGGGCATATAGAGAGTCAAAGCTGGGGGGAAATATGGGAGAATCGTACATTGAAAATGTCTATAAGAATAAAAGAAAATTAGATATTTTTAAAAAAATGTTTTTAAAATTTATTTAACATAATTGTTACAAAATATAAGCAAAATATTGCAAATACATACATATATATTTCAAATAAGCACACACACACACACACACATATATATGAACAAAAGAGAAGAAAAGAAGAAAATAAAAACGAAAAAATAAAGAGAAAAGAAGAAGAAAAGTGGGAAGAATTTCTTCCAAGTTTATTCTACAAATATCTCAATATGAAAATAATAATAAAATTTCATTGATTGACTTCCATCACTTACAGAAAATTATTATAAATTAGTTTGGAGATGGTATTTAACACTAGACAGATTAAATTAAATAAACAAGGAATATTTGGTGTTGGAGGGGGTGCCAGGAAACCCGGAATTATGTTCACATGTGGTGGAGGTGTAAATGTGTACAATTTTTTTTCTGGCAAAGCGTGTTTAAGGAGATCACACAAATCACTGGGTTAAAGCTGACCAAAAGTCCAGAGGTAGCATTATTATCAATTTGCAATGGGGTGGAAGGTTCGCAGGCTATGAAGGACTTGCTCACAAATTTATTGACAGCTGCACAAATTATGATAGCTAGGAAGTGGAAGGGGCAGGCAGAATGTAAAATGGAAGAATGGTATAAAGAGGTGTGGGATATAGCTATTAACGATAACCTAACATGTTCCGTTAAGGTAAGACAAGGAATATGCAGGAGAAATGATTTTGAGGGTGTTGGTAGAATTTGTACTGTTGAAAAGAAAAGGGGTCAAACCATTGCAAAAAATTTTTGGAGGTGGGATAGTTACAATGGAATGGTCTCGGTGGTGGGCTGCACATTTTTATTCATTTTTATGTACGATTATTATTTTGTCAAAAACAAAAAACTTAGTCATCATGGCTAGTAGTCATCCATACATTTGCTTACAGAACGTACCAGGTTTAACCTCTGGCATCTATTGGTAGCTATGGGAATATATTTGAAGAATCACTGCTGAGCTACACTCACCAATGGTCCTATCTGCTCAAGTCATACGTACAAAATCCAGTGCAGAGATTTGCACAGTTGCCAATTTGCTACCGGGCTAAGTTCAAGGTGTTACTATTAGTATATAAAGCCTTTAACAACTTGGGGCCAGTTTATCTACGAGATTGTCTTATCCCATATGTGCCCACCCAACCGCTTTCATCAGTAGAACTGGCACTATTACAAGTGCCCCATAGTACTTGTTCTGCTTTTGTAAGAACTCGTTTAGTGTGGCAGCACCTGCACTTCGAAACTCCCTGCCTATTGATATCAAACAAGTGCCTTCAATGCATTATTTTTAGCCCTGCTAATATCAAGTCTACCCAGGTGTTTTAGAAAGCTAATGTGAGCTTTAATTTGTTCCAGTCTATTGTTGTTTTTAACTTTGTTTTAAATTACAGTGGTACCTCGGGTTACATATGCTTCAGATTACACACTCCACTAACCCAGAAATAGTGCTTCAGGTTAAAAACTTTGCTTCAGGATAAGAACAGAAATTGGGCTCCGGCGGCGCAGCAGCAGGAAGAGGCCCCATTAGCTAAAGTGGTGCTTCAGGTTAAGAACAGTTTCAGGTTAAGAATGGACCTCCGGAACGAATTAAGTACTTAACCCGAGGTACCACTGTATTGCCATGTTTTTTTAAAAAAGTGATAATTTTATTGGGTTTTCTTTTGGGGGTTTCAACTTTGAGGTCCCCCCTCCCCCCATAATCGAGCAGTGAATACATTTTATGAAATAAAATAAATAACTAAAACCTGAAGAACTGCAATATATTGTCACTTAGAGGAGGTAATGGAAACATCCTTTATCCGAAGCTCTGGAAGTTTTTGTTTAATTGGAGTTTGTTCAAGGTGCATTGTTTTCAGAATGACATTGGTTGGTGCTGTTTCAACCTCTCAATCAGCCTGGCATTTGCTCTAACCTTTATTGACTTACAACACCCGTCCATTTCCTCCTCTAGCTCTCCTCAGCTCTGAAATCCAATATACAGGAGACAGAGATGTAAGAAGGCTTTGAATCTTAAATGAATCAGCCTCTCTCAAATGAGAGGTTCAGTACACTACGTTAACAAAGATCCCCTCTTCTCTTTCAGTCTTGATATATATGTATAGCTTTTCGTTCAGCTATGACCTTCTGTTAAAAGGGAAGAGCCTTTTTGAGAAGGATCCAAGAGATGGAGACCATCTGAATTTAGAAAAACATGCTAGGGGCTGATGAGAACTTGAGTCCAACAACATCTGGAAAACCACAGGCTTCCCCACCCTTGATGCAAAGCATGTTCTCGATTACCGAACACTGGAAGCTGCCTTATATCAAGACTGATCACTGGTCCATCTAGTTCAGTATTGTCTACACCAGGAAAGTAGAATGTGGTACCTCGGGTTAAGAACTTAATTCGTTCCAGAGGTCCGTTCTTATCCTGAAACTGTTCTTAACCTGAAGCACCACTTTAGCTAATGGGGCCTCCCACTGCCACCACGCGATTTCTGTTCTCATCCTGAAGCAAAGTTCTTAACCTGAGGTACTATTTCTGGGATAGCGGAGTCTGTAACCTGAAGCGTCTGTAACCCGAGGTTCCACTGTGCTTGTTTCTGAGTAGCTCTTTATAGACAGTTATTGGGCTGCTTTATCTGTTGGGGTAGAAGGTATGAGAGCAAGCTTGCCCAACCAGTCACTTTGTTTAGGCAATGTTTCTGACTGAATAGTTAAGTACCATGATCAGCATCACCAAAGAAGCTCCTCTGTGCCGTAGAATGAATGAGTTAGCCTTCCCCACTCATCTGGCTGCTAGGTGGAAGAACAATTGTGAGAGAGGGTGTGGGTTCCTGTAAATCTGTGTTCAGATCTCAGCTGAATCCCTACATAATACCACTTGTACATGGGCTGAAGTCTTTTGTTTGGGCTTCAATTGCTGCGTAAAGTGTGTGCTTCCCCCTGTTGCTTCTTTCCATTTCTCCAAGCGGCAACTCCCCCCCCCCCCCTGCATACTTGGCTTCAGACAAAAGGAGATGCTGCAGCTTTAATGAAAATTTAAAAGTCAATGAGACACAGATGGGGGTTGGGGTGGTCGGGGAGAGAAAGGGAGAGATGGAGAGGGGGAGAAATGACCCGGGATGAGAGTAGTCCAATGAATAAATTCAAACCATTTAGAGAATGTTTGGAAAGATCAGAAGGGCACCTTTGCTCGCAGCATTTTAACGAGCCTTGGAGAATTAGTGAGAGGGCTGAAAAATGAGTGGCACTGGCAAAGAGTAATTTGGTTGCGATCACTTGAGGGTGATGAATGAGGATGTGGCATAGCCTCTGCAGAGAGGGATTGTCTCTTCTCAAACAATTGTGTTTCGCCGACATGGGAGGGAGACATATTGCAGCGGGGGCAATGGCTGGCGTTGGATGCAATGGTGATGTGGGACGCATCGGAATTGCCTTGCTGGAATGACACTGAGGATCCGATCTGCATTCTCTTGTTTACGGTGGCCAGGCAGAGGCTCCTGGAAGCTCAAGTTCAGGCTTGAAAGCAGGGGTGCACAAAATGGTCTATCTAGATTTTTCTCCATTTCGCTCTGATGCAAAACCCTTCCCCATATTTTTGCACACAATTTTTCTTAATGAACACATCTTTGCAAACAATTTCCCCCTCCTTAAAAAATGTGGGGCTTTCATTACAGTGCACTTTTCAGCGTGTGCTTTCCCCAGATAGATGCATTTTTGCATTGGCTGGAGAATCCATTGGCAAGCTCAGGGATGTGCAAATTTTGAAGGCTTGTTGCACCTCAGTTTGAGTCCTGCTTCAGGAAGTACATGCTAGGTAAGTTAAAACTAAGGCCCGAGGGCCAGATCTGGCCCAATTGCCTTCTCAATCTGGCCCGCAGATGGTCTGGGAATCAGCGAATTTTTACATGAGTAGAATGCATCCTTTTATTTAAAATGCCTCTGGGTTATTTGTGGGGCATAGGAATTCGTTATTTTATTTATTTCCAAAATATAGTTGCCCCCCCACAAGTTCTGAGGGACAATGTTTGCTGACCTCTGAGTTGAAATGAAGGGGCTGGTTCACAGCCTGGGGTACTTCTGGATTCAGCCTTGTCCCTGGAAGCCCAGAAGGGTGAGACCTTGCCAACACAGAATCATAGAATTGTAGAGTTGGAAGGGACCATGAGGGTCATCTAGTTCAACCCCCATATAACAGCTCAGAGCTCTGAACAGGTTGCCAATCTGCTACAGGGCTGAGTTCAAGGTGTTACTATTAGTATATAAAGCCCTTGACTGCTTCAGTCTGTGGAATTGGCACTGTTACACGTGCAATAAATAAACTTCTTCTGCATTTGCATTTTCAATAGCATTTTCACTAACATTTGTGTGCACACATTACCCTAGTCCATGAATTTCTGAACACACCCATTGGCTGACGGACCGCACTGTGAAATCTGGGGAAATGCAGATTCTGGAGGATGCCTGTGTTTCGGTTCACAAACTGTTTCAGAATGCAAACCGGATTAGCTTGCCTTGAAATGTGAACCGAATTACCCCCCTTTGTCACCCATTGCTCTGTGGCAAGAGATCCAAGAGATCTAGATTCAATTCCCGGCAGCATCTCCAGTCAAAAACCTTGGAGACTTGCTGCCGTTCAGAGTAAACAGTGCTAGGCCAAGTGGACCAAAGGCAGTTCTGTGTGTTCAAAACCAAGAAGCCTGTGGAGGAGAAAAAATCCAAGTCAATTGATCTCCAAAGACTGAAATATTCCTTAATAGTCCCTGCTGCTGTAGGAGGCTGATGAATTCATCTTGAGCCAGGAAGATTGAACTCAGTTTAAGAGCAAGGGGGGAGGACATGAGATATGTATTAAGGTAGATGAAGGCTGAATTAAGATTAATGATAGCCTTTTGGAGTGGACTAGGATCTTCAGCCCTGATATGAAAGCAGGAAGTCCAGAGATGGAATACAAATTACTTGTATTACCTACTGGTAGCCTTCAGCTGTTATTAAGTCTCACCTAAAGCAGCCCATTCATATGCAGGCTGGAGAAGCATGAATGTCCCCATATTTCCTTCACACCTACAGTGGAAGCCATTAGACTGAGAGCACACAAGTGTTCACAACACCCCTTTCCAAAATACCACTTCAGGTGAAGGTATAAATGAGGTCTAAGCAATAACAACCACAATAATAATGCACATTTCTCTTCAGGCTTTCTTCCATCATGGTACTCAGAGCAGAACACTCACAATTCCCAGGTGATTTCCCATCCAGGCACTGATTAGCTCCAACCCTATTCATCTCATGAAACGAATATGGATTTTGGAATTTTGGTTGGCCTCATATGGATTATGGAGGGATGTTCCTCCACAAAAGGCCCTGTACCTAGTGCTCTGCTGTTTGGCAGGCTTAATCCAGAATGTTATCCACTTTGGCCAAAGGGGGGGGGGGAGTTATATCTGTTTTCAGGTCCTCCATGATAGTGAATGGGGAACATGGAACTTAATTTTGTACAGAGCAGCTTGGGACTTAAACACAGATCAAAGTGTAGAGAGAACACAGACTTAGAAACAGATTGGATTAAAAAATAAAATCATAAAGAGTATAAAATCATAGAATTTGTAGAGTCGGGAGGGTTATCTAGTCCAACCCCCCTGCAATGCAGGAATTTTTAGAGATAATAATAACAATAACAACAATAATAGTAATTTATTATTTATACCCTGCCCATCTGGATGGGTTTCCCCAGCCACTCTTGACGGCTTCCAACAAAATATTAAAATACACCCCCCCCCACTTCTACTGCCGAGGCATTTGGAATCGGCAGCAGGGCAGGCCATGGACCTTCCTTAGGACTTGGGCCATTAAGAGCCACCCAGTCTTGTTGACCCTTGTGCTGAGCCTGAGATATGGCTTCCCCACTCACTGAAGTACCAAGATGGCAGCCGGGTACTCTTGGTAAAAGTCCCCCTCGTGTGCCAGAGCTCACCTCCTCACCATAATATTCCATTCCCCCATTACTTATACCTTTCTTTTGCCCTTCCCAGTAGACATTCTGCCTTAGTCCCACCACCGCAGCCTCTCCCTCCCAAACTCTGAACTCTGCCACATCCTGCTATTAGCTCAACGTACTGAAAGCTAACTAGACCTAACAAAGCGGCCTTCAAACAAGGCTGCAACGGTAAGGGTTTAACGACACCGTACAGACACCCATCCCAGCAATATAAGCATTAAAATTTGTCAAGCGTAGAAAGGAAATGGCAAAACATTGCCCTGGAGCAATTCGCTGTATCAATGCAACAAAGAAAACTGCTTAAAGTGGCTGCTTTGGATATTTGCTCCGCAATCTGAAGTTGCAGGACTCTGGTTCCATCTCCTCGAAGGGCAGGGGTTCACAGTTTTTCATGGGGAAGGAAGGATTAAAGGGATTCACCTTCCATGACGGGTTACTGTGGCTCAGCTGAAGATTAGTGCAGAATTTCTAATAAGAAAGCTGTGGGACAATAGCAGTACGTACGTCTGGAAAAATGTGAGAGATGCCGAGCGGGTGTCTTATGGAGGCCTTTGAGTTCCCAGAAGCGTGTGGGCCTGATTCCACATGAAATATCCTTTGCATCAAAACAGTTGGCGAGAAAATTGGTAGCCCAGAGGATCAGGTCTCTATCTTGCCAACACAGATAATCATTATTATGCAACCCGAGCTCCAGGTGTGCAGTCATGTACTGTGGAGTTTACAGGTGTCTCTGGAACACGCAGCACTACGGGCATTGTCCAATGGAGGCTGAAATTGAGAAAGGCCCCAGTGTCTTATGAAGCTCAACAAGGGAAGATTACCTCCGGCATTAGGAGAGACATGAACTACGGTTTGCCAAAATAACATCTGCCCTACGTGCTTGATAGTAGGCTCGTTCTCCAAGCGTGGATTCTTGTGCAGCTGAAACAGCACTAGCCCTTTGCAAAAGGGAGGTGTTAGGAGGCTCAGGGGAAGCCCAAGTATTAAAAAAACCCAAAGCAAAATAAAACACCTTTGCTGGAGCAGGGGATCAAAATGGGGGAAAGCTGCAAAAAGTGCCATGAGTTTTGAGCTCACTTGACAGACAGGGAATGCCAGCTGATTGTTGAGAAGAAAAACGGGGGAAAGGGAATAGTGTAGAGGAATAATGGGAGCAATATTGCCCCTCCATTATTAGAACTTCACTAAAGCAAGCTAAGGGTATGGGTGGTGCTGTGGTGTAAACCACTGAGCATTGGGCTTGCAGTCACTGTAGGGCATTGGGCTTGCACTCACTGCAGGGTCTGCAGTGCACCTGAGCCACGCGTCTCTCCTGGGAGAGACACAGTGGCTTGGGCACGCACAGGCTCTACGCTGCCCAAACAGTCCGCCCGCTGCCTACCCCCCCCCCAGCTGTTGGGCGGCTGAGTGGAGGGAGGCAGGCAGACTCCAGAGGCCCTGCGGTGTGCCCCGCCCCTATGGGTGGCTCGCCCTGTCCTCGCCCCACCCCTATGGGTGGCTCGCCCCACCCGTGTCCCAGGCAACCAAGCGGCTTCCTCTGCCGCTGCACAGAATTGGAGAGACAGAGGGGTGGGACTCACTGGAAGCCACTATCTAAGAGAGACTGCATTCTTTTGTCTCTCTGTGTGACTATTGAATAAATACATGGTAAGAACTCTTCTCGTTTATGGATTGTGGTTATCATCAAAGAGACATTTTAGTCTATCGAGCAGGAGAGGTCTAGAGTACAAAGTGATACCATGTTGGTTTCGTGGTTCACTTAACTTTCTGCTGAGTCAATATACAAAGCTGCTGAGCACTGTCTGAGTATTGTCTGTACCAGGGTAGGGAACCTCATTACAGCTGAAATCCTACCGAAATGATCCGTGAGCTGAAATCCTACTAGAACGATCGGTGAGCTGATATTTTTTTTTTTTTTTTTAAATCATATTTATTAAAGTTTCCAAAAATATAAAAATACAAAGAAAAAAAGAAAAAGAAAAAAAAGATATTTAAAAACCTTACTTTCATTGCCTACTTTCTGGGACTCCCTCCCCCGACTGTATTCCCTTTCCTTAATTTAGTTCTACAAGCTCTCACTCCCAATTTGAAGCTTAATTTGTTTAACCCACTATCCAAATTGAATTGTACAAATCTTACCACCGTCCCACATCATTAACAAGAAAAGAAAAAAGATTTTCCCCAAGATCCACCCCAGTTCCTTCCACGAATTCCTTTTTTAAACACGTCCAAACAAAATAAAATGACCTGCGTAAGTTATGTAAAGAAATAAAAATAAAAGATATAGAAAATTTCAAAAGATGGTTACACAGCCTTTGGATTTCAAATCTCCCCCCCCCCTTCCCCGGTTTGAATTCCCCATATCCATCAGTCTATGCATTATCAGCTTGGAAGTCTCAATTCATGACCAGATTTCTCCCCGATTCCATCTTGCCGGTTTTCTTTTAATTTATTAATTTTAATAATATGTAACTTCAAGTGTCCAATCTAACAAAGGCCTTTAATTTCCTTGATCTTTACCACTCCTCCCGTTGTTCTTTCCGTGTCGTAATCAGTCCTTTGTTCTTCTTTTCCTCACTTTCTCAGGTTTCTTGTCCTGTTCAGCTGCTAACACTTTCTAATTCAGAAATCTGGTATCTCTGCAGAGGTTTGTTATTCAGGAACAAAAACTTACGTCCAGTCCCTTCCTTTCTTCAATAGAAAGTTCTATTGTCTCCTTTAATGTAAATACCTCTGTAGACAAAATACTATTTCAGTTTTGCAGCTTTCCAAAAGATAACAAGTCCTGTGCGAATCCCAGAGTATTTTTCCACTTACGACCGTTCTTGTAATATCCCGAAACCCTCTAGGGGGAATGTAATAACTTTGTATCCTCTAATCCAAAAGTCAAATTGTTGCTTATTTTCCAACAGTTTATATCCATATTGTAGCAAATTGTAACAAAATTAACCGGCAAAGTCCTCATAACAAAGTCCTCTTTATATTCTCCAACTTTGACAGCCACTTTGACAGCTGTCAAAGTCTCCGCCTCTCTTCACCAGGCTCCACGAATCGCCCGGTTCCCAGGGGGCTTGCATTTTTCTTCTCACCCTCCACTCTTCTCCTCCAGCACAGTTCTTATAATTTCCCATCGTGAAATTAATGGTTTTTATCAAGAATATACTTCCCTTTGGACCTTGGTTACCCAGTCCTTGTTTTGGAATGCTTACAGTAGGGGGGATTGACTTCTTTTAAATCGCCCCGCCGTGCCAACCAAATTTTGAACCCGGTTTACCAATTACACTCGGGTTGTTGGTAATAGTCCAAAATTTAAATGGAAGTAGTCAGCGCTCCGTCGAATGGCATGCGGCTGCGCCGGCAGGGAAAGCAGAAGACTCAGCACCACGCCGCTCCCGGCACTCCGATCCAAGCCTTTAAAAGGCTCCTTCACGAGTCGGGAGGGCGCTACTGGTGCAAGCCGAGTCACCCATGTCCACGGACTCCGTGCCCGTGGTTTTTAAGGGTCCCCGCGTCGCCGGCGCGGTAGGACCCAGCCCCTGCCGAGCAGACTCCCTCCGGAGCTCGGAGGGAGTCCGCCATTCGGCGATGGCGCCAACCCGGAAGTCCCGATCGGTGAGCTGATAGCCTATTGGAATGGCTATTCAATCATTGGTGCATCTAATGCCAGCCATACTCAGAGTAGACTCACTTAAATTAGGAGGCAAGACTAATTTAAGTCCAGTAATTTTAGCAGTTGCATGCAACCCATAGTCAGCTAGTGTTTTCCTAGGAGATTTACATTTCTTGAGTAAAACTGATTTGCAGATCCACCAGGTAAATAAAGACAACATTCTTAGCTGTGAAGGTACTTAAGAGCAGAGTAAAACATAGCTTTTTTTTTTCCTTGTTGGAGCTCAGTTTTCAAAAATCAATGAGATGAGAAAGGTCTGCTGTCCAATTTGGTTCTCTTGGTACTCAAACATTGCAAAGATTAATGACAGACATAAGAACGGAAAGGTGTGCCCTCCTTCGATCTGGACTGGCTAATGCTGCTTAATGCCTCCATCCATGCTGTGAAGTCAGGCAAGAGGCCTCCTTGAGATCCTCCTAGGTTCAAGGGAAGTCCTGCTCAACCACAACTTCCTGGCTCATAATAAGGGGGTCCCCTATGCATCTTTGACAGAACATCAATGTGTGCACTGAGAAGCCTTTGATCTCCAGTAAGCATGCCCATGTTCAGAGTAGGCAGCAGCGAAGAGGGGGGTGGGGGAAGCAAGCCCAACCTTATAATAGAGAAGAATCTATTCCAGTTGCAGGTCTCCTCTAAGAACTCAGAGACGGCCCAGGTGAATTGCATGCACTTATCATGTCAGAGACATGCAGGCATCTTGCTGATTTACTAGAGGTTTGCAGATTTGCTCCCATTTACAGGATTTCTTCATTTCTGAATGAATTGTGCAATAGATTAGGGATGTTCAGTTCTGTTCAGGAGGAGGGGAGGCAGTGGAAGTGTGTGTGTGTGTGTGTGTGTGTGTGTGTGTGTGTGATAAGATTTGGGCAAATAGCCTTTTATAGCATTTTGCTCCTGGCTTTGGAAGAAACCTAAACAGATGGTGCTGTAAAGAAGGTGACTTGTTTATGTATATATATAAAATAATAATAATAAAAGCAACAAAAGTCCATTTTTTCCTCCCCCACCCCATTCTGGAGTTGCGTACTGAAAGACCACCTCGGTGGATTGTACCTAATCACAACCTTTCAACACTATCAGGCATGGCCCATTAGAGGCACCAGTCTTCCAAAACAAATTACTTACTGTAATCCCTCTCCTGATGTATGCAGTAAAAGACAATAGCACAGCTCATCGGCCAGCACTGCTCTTTGAGATTTATAGTGTGCAGCTAAGCAAACTTCCATTTATAGTTATATCCCCAAACTGACCCACAAGCCACAAAGAGTATTAAAACAGTTGCACTCTTAATGGCACAAGCCCTTTACTGCTACAAAACTAATGTCGGCTCATTGTGGATTCATGGAACAACAGAGGTTTACAGCCGATAAGGATCTCAAACACCTTTTCCCTCTGCCTGATACTGTGCTGTCATTTCAGCAGTGCAAACAGAGGACTCTTGATGGTTGCAACAGAATCAGTACCCCCAAGTGATGCCTTGCTAAATTAATGGAAGCAGCGAACGCTTCCTTTCTCCCATTGCCACTGCTATATATTTCAAAGGGACAAGCGTCAGATCATATAAATATGTCCTTCTCACAAGTGCTGCAGGACATATTAACTTGTAGACATGCCACTATCCTGCTGTCAAAAGGCTCTTGCTATCAGAAAGTTATTCCTGATGTTTAGTCAGGATCTCCTTTCTTGTAACTTGAAGACATTGGTTCAGGTCCAACCCTCCAGAGCAGAAGAAAAACAAGCTTGCTCCATCTTCCATGTGACAGCCCTTGAGATATTTGAAGATAGCTATCATATCTCCTCCCAGTCTCCTATTTTCCAGGCCCAACTGCCTCAACTATTCCTTTAAATCCTTGGTTTCCAGATCCTTGATCATCTTGGTTGCCGTCCTCTGCACACAGTCCAGCTTGTTATTTTTCTTAACTTGCGGCGCCCCAAACTGGACACACGACTCCAGGTGTGGTCTGACCAAAGCAGAATAAAGGTAAAGGGACCCCTGACCATTAAGTCCAGTCATGGCCGACTCTGGGGTTGCAGCGCTTATCTCGCTTTATTGGCTGAGGGAGCCGGCGTACAGCTTCTGGGTCATGTGGCCAGCATGACTAAGCGGCTTCTGGCGAACCAGAGCAGCACATGGAAACGCCGTTTACCTTCCCGCCAGAGTAGTACCTATTTATCTACTTGCACTTTGATGTGGTTTTGAACTGCTAGGTTGGCAGGAGCAGGGACCGAGCAACAGGAGCTCACCCTGTCGTGGGGATTCGAACCGCCGACCTTCTGATCGGCAAGTCCTAGGCTTTGTGGTTTAACCCACAGAGTGGTACTATTATTTTCTTGATCAGGACACTAAACGTTTGTTGATGCAGCTTAGAATAGCATTAGCTTTCTGTTGTTGTTGCTGTGGCTGCAGCACATTGTTGACTTGTGTTAAGCTTGTGGTCTACTAAGACTTCTAGATCCTTTTAACATGTACTACTGGGAAGCCAGGTGTCCCCCATCTTATATTTGTGTAGCTGGTGTAGAACCTTACATTTGTCCATATTGTAATTTACTTTATTAGTTTTGGCCCAGTTTGCCAATCTGTTAAGGTCATCTTAACATATGTGATATAACTTTATTTCACCTGGGAAAAGACACAGGAGAAGTATTAACACATTCTTCCAATGGTGTGACAGGGGTGGTCTGCGAGCTCCAAACCAAAATTTCAAGGTATTTCGGTTGCAGCATGTTACACAGATCATTAGAGACACAAAACACATTCCTTGAGTTCAACTTGAATAAACTTCATAACCCACAATCAAGGCACGGCCACTTCTGAACCCACCCTGGCCTTTGATTTGGAAAATTAGCCACCCTTTTCTCTTCATTAGTATAATGTTATGGGGAAAGTGCAGTTGTAGCCTTGCCTGCATCCCCAATCCGTTCCTCCTTTGTGGGTATATGTTTCCCTTTCCAATTTTTCACGAGAAATAACCTTGCTGTAGCAGTTGCGCATAAAAATAATGTTTTCCTGTCTTGTGGTATTTCTTTACCTATTATAAAAGGTAAAGGGACCCCTGACCATTAGGTTCAGTCGTGACCGACTGGGGTTGCGGCGCTCATCTCGCTTTATTGGTCGAGGGAGCTGGCATACAGCTTCTGGGTCATGTGGCCAGCATGACTAAGCAGCTTCTGGCGAACCAGAGCAGTGCATGGAAACGCCATTTACCTTCCCACTGGAGCAGTACCTATTTCTCTACTTGCACTTTGACGTGCTTTTGAACTGCTAGGTGGGCAGGAGCAGGGACCGAGCAACGGGAGCTCACCCCGTCGCAGGGATTCAAACCGCCGACCTTCTGAATCGGCAAGTCCTAGGCTCTGTGGTTTAACCCACAGCGCCACCTGTGTCCCTTACCTATTATACTCAGTAGATATACCTCTGGTTTTTCCCTCTAAACTAACTCTGAGCATCTTTTCTATTTCCTCATTAATTATACCCCCCCCTTTTTTAAACTTTTCCGCAGCCCCACCATAAATGTATCAGTGTGCCCTCTGCCTCCTTGCATTTCCAGCATAAATTGGAGTTTGATTTGTATATTTTGGAAAGTTTTACTGGGGTCATATGCCATCTGTAAAACATTTTCATTATATTTTCTTCTATAGCATAGCATGTAGTAAATGTTATATAATTCCATTCTTTAACAGCCTTTCCCACTGCTCCAGTTGTATGACATACCCAATGTCCTGTGCCCATTTAATCTGTACTTCTTTTACTTGTTCATCCTTTAAACTCCATTCCAATAATAAATCATACTCTTGATAATAATTTTTGATTACTTCCTAATAAAACTTTTTGTAATAACAAATCTTCTTTTCCAAATCCTCGTTTTTTATCAAAGTTAGACGTTGCTTAATTGGTGATATTGGAGCCAGTCTGTGATATAATGCCTTATTTCTACAAATGTTTTCAACTTTGGTTGTCCCCAGTCCTCCCTTAATAATTGACTGTATGTTCCCAAATTTCCAGTCATATTTAGTTTTTTAGCTGAAAAGGCCTCTAGTGGTGATAGCCATTGTGGGGTGTAAAGTTGTAACAATGATTGATAAGCAGTCTAAACCTTATACAGCACACCTCTGATTACGGTGGTACCTCGGGTTACAAACACCTCGGGTTACAAACACCTCAGGTTACAGACTCCGTTAACCCGGAAGTAGTACCTCGGGTTAAGAACTTTACCTCAGGATGGGAACAGAAATTGTGTGGCGGCATCAGGAGGCCCCATTAGCCAACAGTGGTACCTCAGGTTAAGAACAGTTTCCGGTTAAGAACGGACCTAGGGAACAAATTCGTAACCAGAGGTACCACTGTATATGATTTGTAAAACCTTTATGGACTTTAACTTTATTGTCGGCCAGATAGGCCCATATCTATTGTCAAAACTTTCTATATCCAAAATATCTAATTTATCTTAACATAATCCTATCTTTAATCCAAATTATACACTCTGCTACATAATAATTTTTTAGATTTGGAAGGGTGAAACCTCCTCTCTTTGTCCTATCTGTCATTAGTTTATATTTGATGTGGGGCTTTTTTCCTTGCCAGATAAATTCTGTCAAAAATTTCCTCCATTCCTTGAAGCAATCATGTTTTGTTATTACTGGAATCATTTGAAATAGGAAGAGAAACTTTGGAAGCATATTCATTTTTAACAGAGATTCTTCCCCATAGTGATAATTTCAATCTTGACCAGATTTCAAGGTCTTTTTTAATTTCTTTCTAAATCTTTCTATAATTGTCTTCATATTAATTGACATTTTTCATCGTAATTTCAATACCCATATATTTTGCTTTAACTATCTCTAAACCTGTTTCCCCCCTCTAATTCTGTTTTCTCTTGGTTCTGCATATTCTTAACCATTAATTTTGTTTTTACTTTATTGAGTTTGAACTCTGAAACTTCACCAGATTCTGTTATTTTTTCTAAAGCTTTGGGAATGCTCTTTAATGGATCTTCTAATGTTAGTATCAAATCATCAGCAAAAGCTTTTAGCTTAAAATACCGACGTCCTAGTGTTATTCCTTTGATTTCTTCCTCTTTCCTGATTACCGAATTTAGTATTTCCAGTGTTAATATACATAATAAAGGGGATAAGGGGCAGCCCTCTCTTGTTCCTTTTTCAATCAATACGTGTTCTGTCTTTTCATTATTGATTATTAAATTTGCTTTTTGCTTCTCATAGATGGCTTTTATTCCATGGGTGAAGCATTCTCCCATTTCTGATAGGTCTATCACCTTTCTTAAGAATTTCCAAGAAAGATTATTGAAGGCCTTCTCAGCATCAACCAACTTGAAGGCAGCTTTTTTATTAGGTCTCCAGTCTAGATATTCTACCAGGTCTATAATAGTAGTAGTAGTAGTAGTAGTAATAAAATTTATTTGTACCCCGGAGCCGGGCTCAGGGTGGCTAACATCATAAAACTAACACAGTATACAAAGAACATAAAAACAGGCAATCAATTAATTAAAATACTTCTTAAAATTAGTTCAGAACAAATGAAAATCTGGACAGATGGCAGTCTACGGGTAAAATTGAGAGTGGTTAATTTTCTCCAGGGCCAACTGTTACCACTGGTCTTATTGCCCTCATATTGTTTTTCATATGGTGATCCAGGAGAAACCCTGCCTGGTCTTTGTTAATTATTACTTTTAAGACCAATTTTAATCTATTCATTAAATACCTGTATAAATCTTGTAATAGTTATTTAGAAGTGAAATTGGTCGGTAGTTGCTGACCATTTCTCTGGATGACCCCTGTTTGTGGATTAAAACAATGTTTGCTTCTTCCCATGTATGTGGAATTTTCCCTTTTTGTATTCTATAATTCATGAGTTTTTGGAGTGTTGGTGCTAAGACTTCTTCCAATTTCTTGTAATGTATTATGGGGAGCCCGTCAACATGCAAGTTCTTTTATTAATTTGGCTTCTACGTCTTCGTTTTGCTTTTCTGGTATGCCTCTGATGCGCAGAATAAGTTCTCTGTGGTACATCTCAAGTATAGCTATTTGATCTAATGTTTCTTCTTGCACTTTTTAAAACTTCATCATTTCATCTGTTAAATCGCCCATCAGAATCTTTTTCTGGTCTGCAAATTCCATTAAATCTGTTTCTTTTTTTCTTTTTTTAAAACATTGTCCCATATTAACTTTTGAAGGTTTCTGATGAAAATAGAGACATCCAGTTGTATTTTTCTAGAAAAAAGAGGGGCCGGGACGCAGCATGAAACTTCCCTCGTTCCCTGAAAGGGTCCGGAAATGAGTTCCGGTGAGTTCCGGCCAGAAAAAAGCCCCAGGGGAAGCCTTACTCCATTTCCTCCAACATTTCTCCAATGATAATAGGGACCTATCAACATTCCCTCCAGAATTTCTCTGAAGAAGCAGGACATTCCGGGAGAAACCAGGACAGCTTTTGTAAATCTGGAACCACCCCAGGAAAATAGTGTATGCATTTAAGTCACCTTCCAATTGGTTTCCGCACCCTAGACTCTGGAAGTATGTAAATGTGGCATATTTGTGTGAGATGCCTGAGCATTGGAGGCAGTTAGTGCTGGCAGGAGCCAAAGGATGTTTCTGCTGCAGCTGATGACCCCAGGATCAAGCAGGCCATCCACAGAGGAGGGAATTCCTTTCTGTGGGCTGTCCTTTAAGAACCCTCCTTGTGCTTCAGTCCAAGTCCCTTCATCCTCCCCCCCACCCACACAAACCAAAGGCAGCAAATGTCTTTGAACAAGACCTCTTCCTGGGGGGCGCTGTACTTGGACTTCTGTCATGCTGCTTGTGAGCTCCTGGGAGAACAGACCACAGGTCTAACTGAGCCACCTTGGGCTTGAACCATCTGCCAATGGTTATTGTGGTGCTCTGCTCCAATTGTCCCTCTGGGGGGCTTGGGAGGGACTCTCGCCTCCTGCTTCCAACCCACCCATGTGGAAGCAGCAGCCTGTTCCAGCTACAGAACAGGGATCTAGTCTGGGTGGACTCTGGTTGAGCAAAGGAAGTGGACTTACTGTGATTCTTCTTGAACATGCACTGATAGAAGAGAACAGTCAGAACGCCCAGGAACAGCAGGAGAGAGGCAGTTCTGCACAAAGAGGGCAGAAAGGAGGGGAATGTCAGGAAAAGAGCAAAAGTGCCAATCCCAGCAGGGTCTGGAAAATGAGCTAACGTTTGTGTGTGTTGTGTGTGTGTGTGTGTGTGTGTGTGTGTGTGTGTTTTAAGTATTGGGCTCTGCCGTCCCAGGCCTACCTGGGATGGCAGTTCAATTCTTGGTACCACAATTTAAGGAGGATATTGATAAACTGACTTTACCTGATTTTACCATCTGTAGAACCCACCAAAACAGCCCCACATTGTGCAGCCGGGAAGCCGAGGCGGATTTTGGGCAGTGTGCCCAGTTCCTCCACACTGGGAGCTGAGCCTAGAAGATGCTGCAGGGCATCGTAGTGAACTGAGCACAATGGAGGGTGAGAGATGGGGGGACGCTGTTGAATGTTGGCCTTGCACAGGTTGCTGCTGAAACAGGAAAGACCAAGGTCCGCCTCTAAGGGGAGGCAGAAGTCCTCCCTGCTGGCTTTCAGGTGAACCAAAGACAGTTAACTGAAGGAGTCTGTGCTGCCAACTGATCTCAGAATCAGTTCAAAGCAGGCATCTGGTTGCCAGGGAAACAGAATTCCACAGGATTCCACATCCTTCTGTGGAGCCAGAGCCTGGCCAAGAACTGGCCAATGGACTCTGGGCTCCAGGACTGCTCTGTCTCCCAGGCCCTTGTCACCCCTTGAAGGGAGATTGAGCCACAGGCTCGGAAACCAACAATTGGGGTGGGGGAGTATGAAAGGGAGGGACATGGGAACAAGCAGCAAGGAGATCGTAGTGTAAATGCCCATTTACAATAAATAAAACCTCCTTCCCATCCTCAGGGATGCTCAGTCATGGTGAGGAATGAGGAAGTGAGCCTTTTAGGGGAGTGGGGTACAAGCCCTTGTCTTAACAGATCCCTGCTGTCAACTTCTTCATCCTGCTGCTCTCCAGATGTTAAGCCAAGCAGAATGAACAAAGGGATGGGAAGGTTGCAGGGTTTTAGTTGCAAGAAAAAGCGAGGAAGAGGCAACATGACAGACCTTTGCAAAATGATGCACGCATGGAGAAAGTGCACAGAGAAAAGTCTTTCTCCCATTTTTGTGACACCAAAAGCTGAATTTTGGAAGATACATGAGAGAGAAAAGAACGTTCTCCTTTGGGCAGTGCAATGGTAAACAGTGAAACTCTCTCCCTCAGGAGGCAGTGATGGCCAGCAACTTGGATGGCTTTGAAAAGGGATCAGAAAAGTTCATGGAGGAGGCTATGGAGGGCTACTACCCAGAATGACTATGTTGTTCCTCCATAGTTGGAGGCCACAATGCTTTTGAAGACCATGGGAGGGGGGACAGCTATTGTGCTGGGATCCTGCTTGTGGCTTCCCATAGGGCATGTGCTTGGCCACTGTAAAAATAGGAAGTTGGAGTAGATGGGCCACTGGCCTGATTCAGTGGGCTGCCATCATTACCCCAGAACTTTGGGCATACTGGCTGCTGGGATTTGTTGTCTGACAACATCTGGGGGGCACCAGGTTGAAGAAGACCAGATTACTTTAATCCCAGCTACCTGGATCCAAACACACACACACAATGAAAATGGCCAGTATCAAGTATCAAGGTCATTGCTCAGACTGCTTTCAACTGTCATGGCTTCCCCCAAAGAATACTGGGAATGGTGGTTTGTTAAGAATGCAGGGAGTTGTTAGGAAAGGTGACGAAAGCAGTTTCTGTGCCAACACTGGGCCTAAACCCTGATTGAAATGGAACTAGAAAATCAATGGGGATGCAATGGAGGCAGCAAAGCATGCCTTCAATGCAAACTTCACTACCACCAGGTAAGCTCAATGATAAGTCCTCACCAGTGTTTGGTTGAATTCACTTACCCTCCAACATTTCTCTGATGAAAACAGAGACATCCAGTGCTATTCTTCTAGGAAAAAAGATGCCGGAACTCACCAAGAACACCTCCCTCATTCTCTGAGAGGGTCTGGAACTGAGGTCCGGTGAGGTCCGGCCAGAAGAAAGTCCCATTAGAAGCCTCACGCCCCTCCCTCCAAAATTTCTCAAACATCCCTCCAACATGATAATAGGGCCCTATCAACATTCCCTCCAGAATTTCTCTGAAGAAGCAGGACATTCCGGTATCAAAGGAGAAACCGGAACGGCTTTTGTAAATGCGGAACCATCCCAGGAAAATAGTGTATGCATTTAAGTCACCTCCCAATTGGTTTCCGCACCCTAGACTCTGAAGTATGTAAATGTTGCATATTTGTGTGAGATGTCTGAGCATGGGAGGCATTTAGTGCTGGAAGGAGCCAAAGGATGTTTCTGCTGCAGCTGATGACCCCAGGATCAAGCGGGCCATCCACAGAGGAGGGAATTCCTTTCTGTGGGCTGTCCTTTAAGAACCCTCCTTGTGCTTCAGTCCAAGTCCCTTCACCCTTCCCCCACCCACACAAACCAAAGGCAGCAAATGTCTTTGAACAAGACCTCTTCCTGGGGGGCACTGTACTGGGACTTCTTTCATGCTGCTTGCGAGCTCCTGGGAGAACAGGCCACAGGTCTAGCTGAGGCACCTAGGGCTTGACCCAACTGCCAAGGGCTCTTGTGGTGTTCTGCTCCAACTGTCCCTCTGGGGAGTTTGGGAGGGAATCTCGCCTCCTGCTCCCAACCCACCCATGTGGAAGCTGCAGCCTGTTCCAGCTACAGAACAGGGTATCTAGTCTGGGTGGACTCTGGTTGAGCAAAGAAGTGGAAGTGCTCAACCGAAACAGCCCCACATTGTGCAACTGGGGAGCTGAGGCAGATTTTGGGCAGTGTGCCCAGTTCCTCCACACCAGGTGCTGCGCCTAGGGAATGCCACAGGGCATCGTAGTCAATTGAGCACAATGGAGGGTGAGAGATGGGGGGACGCTGTTGAATGTTGGCCTTGCACAGGTTGCTGCTGAAACAGGAAAGACCAAGGTCCGCCTCTAAGGGGAGGCAGAAGTCCTCCCTGCTGGCTTTCAGGTGAACCAAATACAGTTAACTGAAGGAGTCTGTGCTGCTAACTGATCTTAGAATCAGTTCAAAGCAGGCATCTAGTTGCCAGGGAAACAAGAGAATTCCACAGTATTCCGCATCCCTTTGTGAAGCCAGAGCCTGGCCAAGGACTGGCCTATGGACTCTGAGCTCCAGGACTGCTCTGTTTCTACCCGGCCTGTGTCACCCCTTGACATTTTCAGGCCGCTGCTAAGCCCATCTTTGTGACCTCACAGTAGCCACCCAGATGCCTCTTCTGAGAAGCTCAGAAAGCAACAGCAGCAGCAGAGTTGCTGCCATTTGTGATTCCCAGTAGCAACTGGTGTTCAGGAGGGAGCATGAAAGGTGGGGCAGGGGAACATGCAACCAGGAAAGCATGGTTTAAATGGAGGGAGGCAGAGGCAGAGGGAGCTCCCCAGGCTCCAAAACCAACAGTGGGGGGAGCAGGCTGACCGTGGAAGGCTGAAGAGACAGCAGCAAGGAGAGCACAGTTTAAATGCCCCTTTACAACACAACACAACACAACACAACACAACACAACACAACACAGTAAAATACAGTGAAATGAAATGAAATGAAATGAAATCTGCCCTTCCTCCTTAGCGGATGCTCAGTAAGGGTGTGGAATGAGTAGCTGAGCTTTTTAGGGGATTGGGAGGCAAGCGCTGGTCTGAACTGTCCCTGCTGTAGCCTTTTTCAACCAGCTGCTCTCCAGGCGTTACATGAAGCAGAATGAACAAAAGGATGGGAAGTTTGCAGCGTTTGGGACTTTCTTATTTGAGAGAAACAGCAAGGAGGTAGCAACATGACAGACCTTTGTTGACTCACGCAAAACCTGGAGAAAGTGAATAGAGAAAAGTCTTTCTCCCCTTTAAAAGGGGATCAGAAAAGTTCATGGAGGAGGCTATGGAGGGCTATTAGTCACGATGGCAGACCCTCCAAGTTGTCTGCAGTTTCATTTTCTCCCATTGCTGGGTGTGTGTGTGACAACTAGATCACATGCTCTGTGTTTTGCATTCCATTCTTTGGAAGCATGAGAACAGAAGAAACTGTGTGCCACTTCCGCTCTTTGTTCTTTGTACTTTCTGTTTTTGTTTTGCTCTCTCAGGAGGAGAAGAGACACGCCATGATTGCTCTGTTTTTTTTATTTTATTCCTGTAAATAAATCACTAAACTCAGGTGCCATGTGTCCTCAGTCTTAGATTCTGCTAAACTCTGCTGTTTACTATGTGCATGCATTTTCGGATGCATGTCGTGCTTGGACGTCCGGACGAGTGAATGCATTTCGTACGTTATTTTCACTAATACATGTGCCTTTTTATGCTTTACACACTTTACCCTAATATATGCATTTTGTACCCATTGCTTGACTCAAGAACTGCACTGCAAAATTCAGAGGAGGATAAATTTTGAAGGATGGCTGTGTTTGGATTCGTATATTATTTCAGAAACTGTGAATTAGGTAGGTTCACTTCTAAATGCGAACTGAAGTGAATTTCTCCCCTAGTTCTATTTGGCCTTGAGACAGCTAACTGCAAGGAGCTTTGCCATGTGCAGTCATCAAGCAGGAGAAATTAAGTGTTCCAAGGTTGTCTGAAGAATGGATTCTCTACTATTTCTCCTGGGATATACTATATTGTTTTTGCCACATATTGCACCTGATAACCTAAAATAGCTGAGTAGGCATTTTCTCTCAGAACTTTGGAAAAATGGAGGTGGAGAGTTTTTTCATGGTCGTTTAACTTTTTTAAAAAAATAGACACCCAAACCTTCAACAGCCAACAGATTACCTACACTGAGCACTGCTCAACTTCCCCAAATGATGCTGGTAATATTTTTTTCAATTTCTTTGACCACCTTTCCCCACCCCCCACCCCAAGATACTACAGATATTTTCTCTAAGCAATGCCTTGTATATTAAGCCCTGGACTTCAGGCTGAATTTTGCTGGCAACCTAACCAGGTTCAGAGAAATGTTGGCGAGCTTATTAGAATCCTTGCATCTTTCCTTGCAATTCCTACAGGTGTTTCAACTAAGCAGAACACTTTAAACTAGTCTTCACCAACCCAGTGCCCTCCAGATGTTTTGTACTGCCACTCGCATCAGTCCCAAACAGTACACCATGCTGATTGCCCCAGACCCACCAGAAAAAAACTTGTAGACATGCCTCCTATGTGTGCTGGCTGGAGTTATGACCCCAAACATCTGTTTTTAGAAGAAATGGAAAGCCTCTTAAAAGCTGCGGTAGGTAGGTTGATCATTGGAAGGGACAAGCTGATGCTGTCATGGCAGGAGGAACAAAGCGTTTCACAAGTGGGTCTATGTAGGGAAGGAGTTCACAGGAACACCATCTAGTAGTGGGGGGGGGGCTGAAAAAAAATCACATCTGGAAATCAATGCCCCCCTTTGGTTTCAGAGAGAACATGGGTAGATGAGTCTAAACAAAACAACTGGACACAAATTTTCATGGCCCTCAAAATGGTGGGTCGTTTAATGTATTTAGCATTAAATCTGGAAGTGTATACTCAATTCTGACCAAACTAAGCCTCCTGAAGTACTGTACATTTTGCTTTAGGAGGCTTAGTTTGGTCAGAGTCCAGTACAGTGGTACCTTGGTTTTTGAACATCTTGGAAGCTGAACGTTTTGGTTTTGGAACGCCAAAAACCCAGAAGTAAATTCTTCTATTTTCGAGCACGCCCCAGAAGTCGATTGGCTTCCGCTGCGTGTACATGTTATTTTTTTTCAGTTTTCTGCAGACCACCCTTTGTGCCTCAGTTTTTGAATGTTTCGGAAGTCGAACGGTCTTCTGGAGGGATTATGTTCGGAAACCAAGGCACCACGATTACTTCCAGAGTTAACACTACATACATTACTTCTGGTGAATAAGCCACCATAGAGGGCCATGAAAATTTGTGTCCTGGGCTTTTTAGACTCGTCTACCCATGTACTGTCTGAAACTAAAGGGGCACATTGGTTGCTAGATGAGAAGTATACTGGCATTGCTTTCAGCTCTCTTACCCAACTAATCAGAGAACTTAAGCCTAGAACAGCAGCCATTTTGAGACCAGGTATAGTAGGTTATCTATAGCAGCATTTTTGTAGTCAGGTTTGCTCCTCCTCCTGTTGCATCTCCTCACAAAGTGTGAACAGCAACGAAGGCAGGGCTCCTAAGTACCAATCAGCCTCCTCTTCATACTTTGATTGATACGGTTTGCCGTGAGATGTTGGCACTGATATGTCAGACAGCATAAATTAGCCAAGATGTGCTGAATCACATCAACACAGCATCTGCGTCATTGCGTTTGTAAGAGAGACCTTTAAATTACTCTTTTCTTTTCTTTTTTATAATCTTGAAAATAGTCCTACTTATCCCTTTCTGAGCCTGGCCACTTGGATTATCACAAAGCCTTCATAATATCATTAAAACATTCAATTGCATCATAAAATAATTCTGAAGCAAATGAAGCAAGAGTGGCTTAAATTATTCATTAATGCAACTGTGGGAATGGAGTGATAGGCTTGCATAGCTGGCGGTAATTGGAATATTGTAAGCAATCATCTAAGTAAAAGCAAAAGATACAGCCCGGATAATCACACTTTACATAATGGAAGAGTGTTGACATGCTCATGCATCTTCAAGGCAAATTAACACAGATCCTAGTGCTTGATATGACTCCTAGCCTGATCCTAACCCTGTTTCTTTAGATTCCAGTGCTATTAAAAGGGTAAAGGGACCCCTGACCATTAGGTCCAGTCATGGCCGACTCTGGGGTTGCGGCGCTCACCTTGCTTTATTGGCCGAGGGAGCCGGCGTACAGCTTCCGGTTCATGTAGCCAGCATGACTAAGCCGCTTCTGGCGAACCAGAGCAGCGCATGGAAGCGTCGTTTACCTTCCCGCCGGAGCGGTACCTATTTATCTACTTGACGTGCTTTTGAACTGCTAGGTTGGCAGGAGCAGGGACAGAGCGATGGGAGCTCACCCCGTCGCGTGGATTCGAACCGCCAACCTTCTGATCAGCAAGTCCTAGGCTCTGTGGCTTAACCCACAGCGCCACCCGCATCCCTAGTTCCAGTGGTATTAATGTCCAGCAAATGGTGTGTCCAGGACTTCAGACATGGGCTGGAATTCGATGGTACTGAGAGATAGAATGCTTGCCACTGAAAAGAGCAGCGCTGCATCTCATCTTCTGTTACTCTCACAGTATCAAATCACTTGCTATGCACCTAAGAAGAGCCCGGCAGGATCAGGCCATACGTCTGTCCAGCATCCTATGCTCACAGTGCCCAGCCAGATGCCCACGGGAAGCCCACAAGCAGGACCCGAGTGCAACCGCATCTCCCCACTTCTGATTCCCAGGAACTGGGAATCAAATCATACTGCCTCCAGCAGTGGAGGGAGAACATAGCAATTTTGGCATGGAATGGAAGCAGTTCTGGGGTGGACCTGGGACATGGACTTTAGGCTGTGCCTACTCCCAGCATTCCCCTTTCCTGCTCTCCACCAATGATGTGCCACCAGCCACAAGTTGGCCTCCTTCCATGTTCCTCTATCCTGCACCTGCACAGTATCACATATTCTGCCAAATAATCGACCTGAAAAAGCCAAATAATATCCGGTACTGGTGTTTACTTGACTCATTGTGCATTGATTAGGGCTGAACTGAGTCTACTTACCCTGTTTCATTATTGTTTGTTTTCATGAGCATCAAAGTAGCACCAAGCCCTTTAGCCCATATCAAGGTGGCATTAGAGAGTTACAAGATTCAGGGCAGATCATCCAGTCTACTTCTTTACATAGAACATAGTTTAACTGTAGAATTCATGCAAAGTAGTGGTAGCCACAAACCTGGGCCTCATCCACACTTGTCCCGTGCCTAGAAAGCATGAGGCCAAGTGATTATCTGCTGAGTAGTTTTCCCCTTGTCCTGCTCCATTCCCGGGGAAAACCTGCTCTTTAGTGCTAAATCGGAACAAATGTCAATCCGGAGAAAACCCTAATTGCCATTCACAAGAGGAACTGTGGATCAGCCCTTGGATGGCTTTAAAAGAGGATTAGGGAAATTCATACAAGATAAGGCTATGATGGCTACGTTCACTGTCCACTATTGGAACTGGAATGCTTCTTGATAGCAGATGCTAAAGGAAGGAGAAGCAGGAAGAGCACTATTGCACTCAGGTTCTGGTTGTAGGCATCTGACTGGCTATAGTGAAAGCAGATTGCTAAACTACATGGGCCTTTGGTTTTACCCAGCAGGTCTCCTCTTATGTTCTTACAACTCTACCTTTTTGGGGGGCTGCTTTGCAGGAGAAATCTGGGGCCCCACAGCAACCCAGCTGTGGGCGGAGGAAAGCCGCCCACGTCAGAGGCATCCCCGGCCACGTCAGGCCTACGGCCAGCCAATCGGGCTGTCTGGGCGTGTGGCTACCCATGGTTTAAATTGTGGCGCTCCTCCTTTTCTTCCAGTTCGGGATCACCCAATTGCCTAAGCCAAACTGCTCACATCTGTAACCTATAAAGATGTGGCCTTATTCATCCCATTAACCCAATATTCTTGTGTTTGTGTATTTATTTCAGGGAGCTGGGGAGTCCGGGGCCTCCCCAGGCAACAGAGTGCTAGAAGAATGAATACAGGTCTATTAGAGACCACCTCCACTTGATATTGGAGCAGACACTAGCAGGAGAATCCTCCCTGCACAAACAAATAGCAGCGATAGAGCTGATGCCCTAGTCAGATAAATGAATGTGACAAAGTGCATTACTTCCTTGCATGCAAACGCTAATAAATCTGAATGACAAAAGGCTCTCTTGGAACAAAAACAAAAAACAAAACCCAGGGCCTCTTACTGTTCTCCCATGCCAAATGCAACAGAGAAAACATTTGCGTATGGGGAGAGCCCCCCCCCCCGCAAGAGAACCCAAATGGATGGGCTATTCAGCAGATCTCATTTACTAGAGTAGATGTTACCCAGACAAAATCAAAGAATGACCAAGCGAGTCGGGGAAAGAATAGAAGGATAATGAGGTCAGATAAACTGTGAGCCCCATTAATTCCAAAGGGCTCAGCCCACCAAGAGCCCAGGAAGGAAGGAGAAAAATAGTGGGGATTCTTGATTCATTTATTCATGGGTGGTATTTATAAGCTGCCTTTCAAACAGAAATCGCTCAAGGTGGCACACGAGAGAAATGTGACTTTCCTGTGTCCTTTTCCTCCCAGTGTCATCATATCATCATAATCTATCCACCCCCCCACCAAAAAAAATCCCCACTTTCAGATCAAAGCTGTGTAATCAAAAGCATTCAGGACAAGGGTTTTCAATCTACCTGAGTTTTTATTTGGGTATTGGGGGACATCCAGACATTGTTAATAAAGGCACAGATACGTCCCAGCAACCAATACTTTTTCATTGGAGGGGGAAATGTGGTTTCAGATTTCAGCCAGTGTTTCATTGCAATGATAATGTGCAGAATGTGGCTGTATGAAGTTGACACCCCAGGCATTTATGGGGTCTGTGACATGAGTAACATGAGCAGGAGGTTGGATAAGGTGACCTCCAACTCCCTGATCTTATGATGCTCAGACTTTGCCTCTGCATGCGCAATGTTTGGTGAGCTTTCAAAGCACTTGTAGAGCATGATCACTCCCTGCCTGCTTTGGATCTGAATGGTTCTCTGTGTTCCGAAGAGAAGCTCAAACTGAGATCCCTCTGATGCGCAGCGTAAATTAATAATGCAGAGTTTTAAAGAATAAAAGCTTTACTGAGTTAAAATAAACTTCTTCATAAACAACATGGTTCCAAACAGTTTGACTGAGATTACATACTGACTCTGTTCATAGCTGAAACAGACAGACTCTGCTGAAATCTTACAGAGAGTACAAAGTGAAACTGGCTACTACGTCACATGTCAGAATGACTCAACAGTTAGCAGTTAGGCCTGAATAACTTTAGGTAGGCCCGAATGATTGTGCAGTCCCAGCATTTCTCAGCCTGCTTTGCTGCTTCTGCTCTCATGTGTCTTTGTCACATGACACCCTCCCCCCCCCCTTATTTCTTGACCTCAGCAAGATGTGATGTGCCCAGCCATGCCCATTTTTGTTTGTTTGTTTAACAGTAGGCTAGTTTTTACCATATGATTAAAGCTATGGTTTTCCCAGTAGTGATGTATGGAAGTGAGAGCTGGACCATAAAGAAGGCTGATTGCCAAAGAATTGATGCTTTTGAATTATGGTGCTGGAGGAGACTCTTGAGAGTCCCATGGACTGCAAGAAGATCAAACCGATCCATTCTGAAGGAAATCAGCCCTGAGTGCTCACTGGAAGGACAGATCCTGAAGCTGAGGCTCCAATACTTTGGCCACCTCATGAGAAGAGAAAAGACCCTGATGTTGGGAAAGATTGAGGCACAAGGAGAAGGGGATGACAGAGGACGAGATGGTTGGACAGTGTTCTCGAAGCTACCAGCATGAGTTTGACCAAACTGCGGGAGGCAGTGGAAGACAGGAGTGCCTGGCGTGCTCTGGTCCATGGGGTCACGAAGAGTTGGACACAACTAAACGACTAAACAACAAAAAGTTTTTACCTGTGCTCACCGCACCCCCTCTCTTCGGGAAAGCAAAATGCACTATCAGAGTTCAAGGGCATCTTCCAGCCAGGTAAAAACAACTGCCTCTTAACAGAGCCAGTGGTGGTGTAATGGTTAAGATTGTTGGGCTAGGACCTGGGAGGCCAGGGTTCTAATCCACATTCTGCCATGGGTGACTTTGTGCCAGCCACTATCTCTCAGCCTGACCTACCTTACAGGGTTGTTGTTGAAGATAAAATGAAGAAGGGGAGAACCACGTATGCCACTGTGAACTCCTTGGAGTAAAGGTGAGTTGTATAGGTGGTGGTGGTGATGATGATGATGATGATGAAAATAATAAGGTAAGCACAGATCTCCTATCCCAAAATTTTCAACAAAATTCTCCTGCCTCACCATGTTTTGCAGGCAGGCGAAAAAAGGGAAATGAAATTATCAAAACAGCTTTAAACTTAATTGGTTGTGTAGTTGACAGTTCTGTGGTTGACAAAGAACCGAAGAAGCCAACGCCTTGATGTCCTCAAGGGGTCAAGGGTGTGTAGAAAGAGATCAGAGGGCAACATCCACGGGTGCCTGCATGGATTCCGGCCACAATTCTCATTCCACTCAGAGGCCTTGGCATCTCATAGTTTGGGACCACGATGTGACAAGTTTCAAACTAGTTCCCTAGCACACATGCATTTCCCAAAACGCAAGAAATTTTTGAAACAGAAGCAAATGGAGGATGTGGACTTGTGTATATGTTGGCATGCGCTTTTGGAGGTGGGGATGCTAATTGGTTCTCATCTGAATCAGTTTCCTGGTTGAAGGCACATTTATAAAGGGGATTTCAAGCGTGGAGCCGGTGCCAAAGGTAGCAGATGGTGACTGGCTAGCAAATTACATGAAGGAATACTCGTTCTGTTTCTTTTCCACTTTTGTGTTGGAAAAGAGAGGGGGGAAGAAAAAAGCCAGTAATTCCAGCTACTCAGGGTAAGAGCAGATGTGATCTCTTGTACGCCTCTGTTCCTAATAGTTTCATGGAGTAATCTCAGAGAATAAGAAACAAGTTTTAATAACCCGCCCCAAACAATCTGACTAATCCCCAAGCAATCATTGCTTGTTGTTTGGAAGCTCAATTTTGGGTTTCCCAAGATTCATTAATGGGATTGTCACTTCTGAGTGTTCTGAAAGGTTTCTACCTTTGCAATTTGGAGCAGTTAAGCTTTTACCATTGTGAAGTACAGTCGTACCTTGGTTTTCAAACAGCTTAGTTCTCGAATGTTTTGGCTCCCGAACGCTGCAAACCTGGAAGTGACTGTTCCGGTTTGTGAACTATTTTTGGAAGCTGAATGTCCGACGGGGCTTCCGTGGCTTCCAATTGGCTGCAGGAGCTTCCTGCAGCCAATCAGAAGCCACGCTTTGGTTTCCGAACATTTTGGAAGTCGAACGGACTTCCAGAATGGATTCTGTTCGACTTCCAAGGTACGAGTGCATCACCAAGTCTATACTAGGGCTGGGTGATATCAGCTTTTCAACATCGTGGTGTATCACCAGCCAAACATTGCGGTTTGGTGATATACTGTGATGTTGAAAAAACAAGATGCATTGGCCTCTGTCTGTGAGACACCGGGTGAAACTGCCCTAGCTTGAGAGCTTGATATATCACCCAGACCTAGTCTACACAGCACCCATGACCACCATACAAATAAGTAGCACTCCTGGCTATTGTTGGTCTGTGGTCCCTAGATGGGTGGGTGCTGACTGCAAAAGCTACAAAACAAAACAAAACAAAGCAAAACAAAACAAAACAAAACAAAACAAAACAAAACAAAACACCTTGTCCAATAATTTGACTGCTCCATGTGTAGTACTTTGTAAGCCGGTCTTGGAGATTTAGATTCAAGACCTTCATGGCAAAATTGGAGTGACACCTGAAATGCAGTATAGCCATGCCATTCCATGACGCACACACAGCCTAAGATTTAAGCTCCAGAAGGAGCAGGGAGAGGAGAGGGGAATCAAAGAGCATAAGAAGTGCCTCCTGGATCAGGCCAATGGCCCATCTAGTTTTGCACCCTGTTCTCGCAGTGGCCAATCAGATGTCTGTGCAAGCAAAACCTGAGCACAAGAAGACTCCCCACTCCCATGATTTCCAGGTTCAATCATCAAGATCTCCAGAAAGGGCTGAGAATGTCTTCTGCTGGAAACCCTGGAGAGCCACTGCCAGTCAGTATAGACCAGTGTTTCCTAAACATGGGTCTCCAAACGTTTTTTTGGACTACAGTTCCCATCATCCCTGACCACTGGTCCTGCTAGCTAGGGATGATGGGAGTTGTAGTCCAACAACAGCTATAGGCCCAAGTTTGGGAAACAATGGTGTAGACCAGCAGTGGTTTGGGTCCCCAGATGTTGTTGGACTACAACTTCCATCATCCCTGAGCTCTGGCCTTGCTAGCTAGGGGTGATGGGAGTTGTAGTTCAACAACATCTGGGGACTCACAGGTTGAGAAAGGCTGGTGTAGACAATAGCAAGCTAGAGGGACAATGGTCTGGCTTTTTATGAGGCAGCTTCCTATGTCCCTACGACCCGTGGGGGGCTGTGTTTCAAGTGATGTTTGCTACCAGCCCACAGAGGAGTTCTGAAAAACAAAGTTGTTCTTTTATTAACCAACGAGGGGGAGAAGAAAACGTGAGGATATATGTTCCTTCATGCCCCTCCCTTCACCAGCTGTTGAGGCCAGCAGGCTTTCTGGCTGCAACGGCTCACTGGGGGACAATACAAAGGAGACCACAAGGTGTGTGGCTCTTTC